TAGGAAGTAGGTTGGGTCTATCTGAAAAGCAGCTGAAAGCCTCACCTTAATGAATGCAGCGTGGTGAGAATGTTTCAGGTTCACCATACGAGAGTCTGACCAAAGAGGCCACAAAACAAACCGCAAGTCTGACCAAAGAGGCCACAAAACAAACCGCAAGCCTGACCAAAGAGGCCACAAAACAAACCGCAAGTCTGACCAAAGAGGACACAAAACAAACCGCAAGTCTGACCAAAGAGGCCACAAAACAAACCGCAAGCCTGACCAAACACAACATGTGACATTGTGAAGGTCGGGGCTTCTGGGGTCCTGGGCCATTTCCAAAAGTAGAATACAAGACAAATGATTTGGAAGTTTGGTGTACAGCTGGAGCCACTGGGAGTCCGCATGGAAATGCAAATAAAAAAAACAGTTCTAGCTTCCATGTGACGTAATGGTGTCCTACATACTGAAAAACAATTATGCTCCAAAAATACAGCTGTCTGCTAGCCTCTAGCTTGGGGACAATGTAGAAAATCCATCATTCCTGGGCCAAAAATAAGATGAAAAAGGGAGAGAAGGAAGGCATGAATATTACATGAAGGTAATACTGCTGTGTACCACTCTGAAGAAAATCCTGCAATTAAAAATATAAGCAGGAGTTTCGGGTAAAACAAAGAAGAGAAGAGGAAGGAGAGAAAAGGAGAGGAGACGGAATAGGAGGGCAAAGAGGAGAGGGGGCAGTATAAGAACAGGAGAGCAGGTCGGGACAGGAGAAGAGGACAGGAAATAGGAGAGGAATGGGGACAAGGGAATAAACAGGAGAGGAGAGGAGAGGAGAGGAAAGGTAGACAGGAAATAGGAGAGGAGAGGGGACAAGGGAATAAACAGGAGAGGAGAGGAGAGGAAAGGTAGACAGGAAATAGGAGAGGAGAGGGGACAAGGGATTAAAGAGGAGAAGAGAGGAGAGGAGAGGAAAGGAGAGGAGGACAGGAAATAGGAGAGGATGTTGAAGGGAGGAATGCACCGGTGTTTCAGGTGCCTGAGATGCTTACTGATGCAAGATCTTGACTGCAGGGAGGAGAAGCCGAGCACAGACACATTGAAGACGCCATTAAGGAGCAACGAGGCAGACGCCGGGAATGAATCATGGGTAATTACTGAATAATTACCGAAAACAGCCACGCTTTTGAATTGGATTAGAACACAGATGGGAAGATATTATTCATTTTTATAGAAGCAAAGAGTGTTGATGTTTACAAGTATGGTACAGCCCCATGTACTAAGAGGGAAATAAGATACAAGAAGATGTAGTATCTCTTACACAAACACACTAGACTGAAGAGTTTTAAATAAAGCAATAAAATCAAGCAAGACGTTTTATTTACAATTTAATTAAATACAGAGCACTCTTAAATAATAATTCCATATAGCTCCTAAGCTTCTGAATTCAAAGGTCGTTTTATCAATAACAGCACCCCCTTCTGGCCATCACTGAAATATCTAGAAGTTATTGACTGACAACATGCACTGTTTATTTGTCATTGAGATATTTCACATGACACAAAGACCAAAGATCGTCACAAAAAATAGATGTAATCAGCCATTCCATCCGGGGAGAGAAGCCGGGGTGACCGGATCTACCTCGGAGAGGGCCTTGGAATGGCCTGCTCCTACTCAACCCATCCACGACCCCCCACCAGCCGTCCATCTACTCGTCACGGACCCAATAACCACCAATGACCTACTCCGCAAATTATAAGATCCAAAAAAGCACCATAATCATATGAGCTGAACTCTGAAATACTAAGAAACAAATAAAGAGAATGAAAGAATTGATATTTATTTTGTAATATTTGCATTTTTGTTTTAACTATAAACACACCATTTTGTGAGGTTTACAATAAACACCAAAATTTAACTGATTAAACAACGAGGTAAGTCAACAATGTAATTACTACAACAAATCGACATTTGGGTTGCAGCCATGAAAGAAGTAGAACATGACAGACATTGGAGAGGCATGCAAACAGAGCCTGTTATTATACAGGACACTGTATATAGGCACTGATCCCGTGACACCGTCCAATCTATTCACTTCCACTTTCGGAACTTCCCACACAGGAAGCCTGACCTTACGCGGTTCAGAGGCCGGGCTACATCAGAGCGCTAAGCCAGTGTTTCCTAATCCAGTCCTCGGGGCCCCACAGACAGTCCACATAAATGTTCGGAGGGAGCAAAAACATGGACCGACTGCTGGTCCCCGAGGACCGGATTGGGAAACACTGCGCTAAGGGAATCACTTGCTTAGTCCTTGTCATTTAGTAGCTGTATTTCATTATAAGCCACAATGCCTGGGGGCCAGCAACAGGTGTTTAAGGGAGTAATAATCAAACAAAAGCCTCGCCATGACAACCAACCCGGTGATCCGAAACAAACATGTGACTGAGAGCGACACACCCATTTATGTGTTAATTTATAGAGCAACCAACCTTTTAGGTTTAGTTTTAATCTTTTATAACAACATCCAATTTCAGCACTAAAATTCATTTAATATATTACCATACACCACTTTGCTCAAGTGCAACAAGGACTACCTCAAGAAAAAAAAAAACAAATTCAAAATTAACCCAGAAATCCATCTGTATTTCATGGTCGACTTACAGTCACTCACAGATACACGCAAAAATAACATCATCAGCACTAAGCTTTCCGTTAAAGTCATCAAACTAAACCAAGTATGTCCTACAAGCTAAATAAACAAGCGATGTTAACCTACTTCATAGTATTTGAATTTTTGAACCTTTAATGGGGCAGTTCTCCCCTAACTTAACTGGATCATAATTTCCAGTAAGAGACATTGTTGAATTTTTCAAAGGTATTTTTCTGGCGCTTTAATCACCGTTCACTCCCATTATATTACATAGAAGCTGACATTTCTACAGCCGATATCTCCAAAACTAAGCAACTCCCAGATGGACAGACAGCACTAAAGCCCCACTAAAACATATCTGCTTTTGTTTTGCCGTGCGCTGCCCCTTTAAAATGTTGACAGAGGGCTGAAGCCACTCGTTATTTTAGCTGCAAATGTCTTTGCTGTAATACAGATCCACTCTCAGACTTTAATTCAGCATATCCTCTCAACAAAGAACCTCCTGGCCCCTGTGAACATGGACTCACTTACGAATCTGACGGGTTACACTTCAACTGGGCTCTTGTGCTTCTTTTCATACATGCAAGAGACCTCTAGGGGGCAGTATTGACAAGCATGACACTGCTATGAGAAGCCTGCTGCTTCTTACGCACCTCCTAGCTGCATCGTACCTCCTGACAGAGTTCTGTCTCAGGTAAAAAGTGCCGACAGGCTGCATCTCAGTCTCGCCCAAGGGGCTTCTCCAAGGAATCCCTGCATTATCGTTCATTTAGCTTGCAGCATCACGTTCCTCAGTAAACGTTCTGTCAACCGTGACAGTTCCTTTTGACTAACATTCAAATATCTCAATCCAGTCGGCTTCTAAAGGATAAAGATTTTAGGGCTTTGCTCCGGTTCCCATTCTCAAGACCAGTACCAAGTTCATTTCAGTCATCGACTTATTGATGCTATAAATTCGGCGACACGTGGGAAATGCTCAAAGCACATTATGGGCTGATCTCTCTGGGATCTCTTCCACCAGTAGCCTGTACAGCCTGGGGATGAGAGTAAACTACAGTTTAGTGATGCATAAGAGGCCATGAATGAGTTTGCTACATTTTCATCCCACGTTTCTTATTTTATCCTTTTCCATCTCTGATGGATTCTAAATTAGCAATATTTTTTGGCTGGAACAAAATACCCTTTGGTTACGAACCAACCTAATTTATTTTGTGTAATAAATCTTCCTACGGATCCTCCAGGGATATAGGTGGGTCTGGAGGATTTCCCAGGCAACACAGGGCCCAAAGCTGCAGAATGAAACTCCAGTCCATCCAGGTATATAGACACACAGACTAACCACAGACTGCTGCAGGAAACCTGAAGATACTTGTTTCAACACAAGAAAAACACGCAAATTCACGACTCGGACGCAAAAAGCTGAAATTTGAACCCCCAACCCTGCAGGTGCGACCCAGTAGCGCCACCCACTGAGCCATCCGTGTACTACATTGGCTTTGTTCATAGCCATCACCTGCTGGACCAGACGCAGCCCCTTCTAACCTCACATCCTCGTTATCCAGACGCCACTAATCTATGCAAGCCACTGAAGTGCCAGCCATTCTCTCGAGTGTCCTCAAGTCCACTCAAGTGTCCTCAAGTCCGCTCAAGTGTCCTCAAGTCTGCTCAAGTGTCGCTCGTCTGCTATCGAGCCCATGCCTCCATCGCAGCATTCTAACCTGTAATCTCTCTCATTTGCCCACGCATCACAGAATTTGGAAGAGGATCTGTCGTGGGTTTAGTAATTTGCCTTTAACTAAATAGATAGGCAGGGCAGCAGTGTGGCAGGAAGAATTCTTGCACCTCCTTAAGTGGGATGTGATTCCCACCTGCTATATGTGTTCTTCCTCCTGCTCCACGGCTGTTTCGGGTGGGTGTGTTGCCCCTAAATTGCTGTGTGTGTTTTTCTGCCCTGCAAAGACCTGGCATCCCTTCCAAGATGTACCCAGAGCTTCCTGGGACAGGATCCAGGCTCATCAGGACGCTGCACTGGGGGGTGGATGGGTTTTTTAAAAAAAAAAAAAAAACCTCTGGAATCTTCACAAGGACATTTATCCCCCAAGAAAGTTTACAGGTACTCGACAGATTTATAAACATTGAAAGCCATTGCCATTATTGGCTTTGGTAAATTAACCCAGCTTAAATACTTTACAAGAACAGGAAACCATTTCTTTGGCGCCCAATCATTTGTTAGCACTTAGCACAAGAGGACCTTCCGCACTCTACTACTAGAGTCGTTTCCCACACAAACTGTCCTGTACACAGGAGCGGGGTCCACGTTCCATCTTACAGTCTTAATACACAAAGGCGAAGACGGGAAGGCACTCACGCCTCGGGGTCCACGGGTGTGATGTCGATGCGGGGCGGCACGATGAAGGGCAGGGTAGTGGGCCGGACGACTGTGTCCTCATCGGGGGAGCGGGGTCTCTCCGCCTGCCTCCAGGACAGCGGGGGCAGCTGCAGGGTCCCCGAGTAGCGCCGCCGCCCCCTACGGAGGTCCACTCCCAGCGTGCAGGCGGGCGAGGCGGACAGCTCACTGCAGTCCGGGGCATCCCTGCCGTCCTGCAGGGGGCGAACAGGGGCAGATTGTGGCGAGCCGACAAAAACTGATGCATGCTTGCTGTGTTTCCGTGTCGAATTTGCTTTTTCACAGATTTAACTCTTCGCTGATGACCAAGGGTCAGAGCCAGGAAGATGAGTTACTTATGATACAAGAAATGCAAAATACATTTTTAATATATTTATTACATGTTATATTTGTCTTTTGCCCTGCGATGGGTTGGTGGGCTGCTGCTTTCATGTGCCCGCAGATTTCTGGATAGGTTTTAAAGTCCTGCGACCCTGCATAGGACTAGTGGCTATAAAAATGGATGGATGGATATTTGAAAACACTTGAATAAGCAGGACTTGCCCAAAAACGGCGGTTAATGGGTAACAGGTTAGGGATGACCTCCAAGTAACCAGGTTAGACACGCAATTGTGATACACAAACTCTCCCACTAGAGGGCGACCTAAGCTTTCCCTTGCACCACAAATGGGGGTGGGTGGGGGGGTGGTTGCAGCTGGCAAGATCCAATGGTGACACAGAGGGACGCTTTGTACTTTACAGAAGAATGAGGGAACAGCTGGTATAAAACAAAAACGCGTGCTCACCTCAGCAGATGCACGTTCCACGCGTGTCCATTGTGAATGGCGATGAGGGGGGAGGATTTATTCTGAAAGTTTTTTATGCTGTGCAGTGTAGCGTGTGCAGTGAATCACTCCACTGTATCATCAGCCATCATCTGCTTCCTCCCAACACACACACACACACGCACACACACTTTATAATTGGTGACTTTGTGCTATCAGGGCTTGAACTTATCAGGGTCTGAATGAAGCGGGCAGACTGGTTTAGGGTTCATCTCGAACCTTTAGTGGTCGAGCATCTTGCGTGCGTAACGGCTCATCACTGGCACAGTGTGAATGCAGGGAACTGCCTGTCCGGTCATCTGCACATGTGGATGCCCAAGAAAAAGGGGAATATGATATGTGACTTTCGCATGCTTTCTCTTGGTCTTAATGAAGCAGCACCCCAGGTCAGAGAGAGGAGATGCCCTGTCACCGAGCGTGTGACACTTATCGGTTGTGGTACGTTCACTGACTACAGGAACAGACTGTCGGGGGTTGATGGCCCGGTCAGGTGTTCCCTGCCCCACCCTTGTTTGGGTCAGAGAGCAGCCTGGTGGAAAACACAGCACTGCACCTGCGATTTCCCCAGCTGGAGACCGAGATCCCAGGACCTCAGTGGCCAGAGATAAACAGACCCTCCTTCTGAAGGGCAGGAGAGTGCTTGCTGACTGTAAAGTACCCCCCACCCCCATGAGAGGTGAGCATGCAGTGTGATGCGTGTGACCAACAAGAGTGCTGGCACGAAATCAGGGGGGTGGGGGGATCACAAGTGGCTGTGTTAGACTTAGCTGGGAGCGGGGGGGTGTATGTGTGCTGGAGGCTTAGCAGGTAAATATCATGGTAAATCAGTAATCCTGGGGGGTCTCCCACAAAGCAGGATTTCCCAGTTAGCTGGATAAATGTGAAAGCTATCCAATAGGAGAAGAGGTAAGTGACATTCATACTACAAAATCCTTACATAACTTAAGTTATCTGGCTAATGGCGAAATCCTGCTTTGCATATTATTCCCCTGAGCTGTTAACAGGAATATCATCACTGTCCAATGAAAATCATGTATCGCCACATTTTAATGATTGACTTTTTACTATAGATGGAAAATGCTCATTCTCCTGTCTGCTGAGAGCATTTCACATCTAATTCACCAATGAAAAGATGTTTTACAAAGTCATCTATTTAACTAGCATTTACGCTTGTGCTAGTTAACATTTGTATTCATGACGCTCGTTTGTATGGATTACTTTATATTGCTAATTTTAACAATTTAACCTTGACAGCTAGACAGCTAGCTACTGTAACATCATTGTTAATTGTCAATATGTAGCTAGATTCATTTGTATCTTGCTGACACTGTGTTACAACGCATTATGTAATAAATGACATACATCTTGGTTGTTTATTACATAATACACAGTATTACATTTTCATCATGAAAAAGTGCAACTCCAGTATTTTGTAATAACCACTGCAACAATAATTTATTACAAAATGCTGGGAAATGTATTACATATTACGTTCAAGTCTATTACGAAATGCAGCAGATTATTACAAAATGCGAACGCTATTACATAATGAAGTGAAAATTTCTAACATTTGATGGAGTTACTACATAATGTGGCATTATTACATAATGCGTTGTAACACACTGACATATTTGCGTCGCTGTCGACAATCCATCCATTTAAAACATCTTAAAAAAAAAACATTAAATGTTGTTTTAAGCCATCCACTGATGGCTGTGTAATGACAGCTTTCTACTGTGGTGCCCAGGGTGTCTCGTTGCATAGTTTTAGGTTTGCAAAGGAGTTTCTGAGAAAAAACGTTTTTCATTCCGCTGAAATAATGGATTTTTTCATTGGACAGTGATAGTATGGCAGGCAGCTGCTGTAGTACCTGATTAACAGGAATCCAGGGAGAGGCAGCAAGAGCAGGGAGAACATGAGTGGGGAGAGGGAGAGCGGCTCCGTAGGTGCATGCTGGGAAAAAGGAGGGATACTAACTGAGCACGCTCTCACAGAACCATACGGGAGTGGGGCAGCCACAGGGAGGGGCCCATCAGCTGAGGCTCAAACACAGAGAGGCGGGGCCTCACACCAACGGCACAGAGAGGCGGGGCCTCAAACCAACAGCACAGAGAGGCGGGGCCTCACACCAACGGCACAGAGAGGCGGGGCCTCACACCAACGGCACAGAGAGGCGGGGCCTCAAACCAACGGCACAGAGAGGCGGGGCCTCAAACCAACAGCACAGCAAGGAGGAAACACGCCGCTCCGATGGAAACGACGGCGGCTCTGAGTGTGACGTGATGTTAACACCTGGGAGCGGAGTGTGACTCATGTCTGTGTCAGAAGGTCACAAGTTCAAATCCTGGGGTCGGCAGAGTGATTTCACTCTTGGGCCCTTGAACAAGGCCTTTAATACCCGGTTGTTCCACATGGCCTCACTTTTGAGCACACCATGCTGCCCGCAGATGGCCACGTCATTGCCATATTTACATTTAGATGTAGATCTTTACATTTTGTTTATTTGTATATTTTTTATGCAAATAAGGCACCATCAAATTTGCAGGGCCAGAAGGCAAATGAAGTCGGGTGTCTCATAAATGGGCACATTGTGTTGTTTGGTTTGGAGGGCAGGGGCACGGAAAGTGAGAGGGGGAGGGATCAGCCTTTGTGGATGTGAGAGGAAAATAAGACAGAAAAGAATGATGTGAACTGAAGAATGATGTGAACTAATCAAGGATGTGAACTGAAGAAGGATGTGAACTAAAGAAGGATGTAAAGAACATGTGGACTGACTCGACATACCAGCCCCATCTCAGGGCATTTCTCATTACAAAGATTGCAAAGATCGCACTCCCAAGAATGAACTTGGGGCACAATGAATCATGGGAATGGTCTCGTTTGGTGAGCATACCAATGTAATGGTGAGCATTCCCATTATCGTTTGGTGAGCATACCAATGTAATGGTGAGCATTCCCATTCTCTGTTGGTGAGCATACCAATGCATCCTTGATATTTGGACCGGGGTAAGAACAACATCCGGGAATTTTTACTGTCCTCTGTACTTCTGTTCTTAGTATTAGAACTGGTCCTGGGCAATGGAAGGTGACATAAAACAGGTACATGAGAATATAAGTATGGTCAAGTACGCATATTGAGAAACACCCCCGATCTCTTACTCAGCAGTGACAGCCCCGGAGCAGTCGCCCCCCCCCCCGCGCCCAGTAACCAGCGCACTCATGTACCAACACGACTGGCATCAGCGAGGGGACCCGTACACCCCACGCGACGCCAACTTCCTGATGGACAAGCCCTCACCCAGAGCCAAAATGCACCAGTACAGCATCCACTCATCTCCAAAACAGAGACAGACAGTGCCACACTCACTGCACATTCACTGCACATACATGACCCATTCATCTATTTCCTGCACTATATTCTGTATGTGTCAGTTTACACTCTGCATACTTGTTTGCACTACATGTACTTGTGTGCAGAGATGTACCTGTTCAACTGTTCATTGAAGCAAAATATCTAAATCATCCAATCATATGTCAGTAGCACATTGTATAAAATCATGCAGATATAAACAACATAAAAGCATTCATCCATTCTGCCTTGTGTCAACAATTCAGGTTGTATGACCACAGTGCACCCAGCTTCTAAAGGCTACATCCAGCAGAATAACACTCCACGTCGCAAAGCTCATATCATCTCAGTCTGCTTTCTGGAACATGACAGTGACTTCACTGTCCTCAAATGGCCTCCACAGTCACCAGATCTCAATCCAGCAGAGCTCCTTTGGGATGTGGTGGAACAGAAGGTTTGTACTGAAGGCACAGCCAACAAATCTGTAACAACTGCATGATGCCAACATGTTAACAAGGACCAAAGACTCTGAGGAATGTTTCAAGCACCTTGTTGAATTTATGCTACGAAGAATTAAGGCAGTTGTGAAGGTGAATGGGGGTCCAGCCTGGTACCAGATGAAGTGGGGATGCAGTTTGTGTCTGTGCCACTGTATGCAAAAGAACATCCAGTTGGGATGGGTACAGCATATAAAGTAAATGTCTCATTTTCCTATCTTATCTCATGCTGGCTTGCTTTTTGACATCATAAACGAGAGTCCTTCATTCACATCCCCCTATTCCTGACGTGACGGATGATAACAAGTTAAACCGGCACCGCAAGTGGCTACAGCAGACGAGGCCCTCTGAAAAAAACTCTGGAATCGACACGTCATCGAGCCTGTGGCACCGTCCTCCGGGGCCCTCGCATCGGCCGGGCAAACACTCTGGAGAGTCCAAAGCAGTGTTTCTCAACCCAGTCCTCAGCGAACCCCAGCCAGTCCACGTTTTTGCTCCCTCTCAGCGCACCTGTACCAGCTATT